GTTTTCTTAACTTTCATCAAAAATATATTCTAGTTCATCAAGAGGTGAAAAAGATGCTTGAAATGATTAGATGGATAACCAATTTGAGTCTCAATTTTCACAATAATGAGGAAAAAAACATAAATAGAGTAATAAAGATTATGGGTTTAGGGCTTAGGGTTTGGAGTCTGATCAATTTGCAATATACTTAAAAGGTAAATTTACACTACATGTATGAACTCAATTTAAATTCAAGTAACATTAAAAGACAGAAGAATTACAAAGAAAAATTCAACACCTATCTTAATCCAATGAAAATATCAAGTGAGTCACATTTCTTTTCAAAGATTCTATTCAACAGATAATCTACAACAGAATTTTTAGATATTTTCAATTTAATTTGAATATTATTTATAAAATATGCCTTATTTTATTTAAAAAATATGTATATATGTGTACAAAATATGTCAAGAATTCACATTTAAAGCCAGGACGTCCAAGAAAAAAATAGCTCGAAATATAGTCAATATTTATGATTAATATCTAAGGTTGCAAATTTTCATAAATTTATATGAAAATTATTATTATTATTTCAAATAAATGCTAGTATATGAATTTCTTGAAACTAGCAAAACCTCAATATACGGAGTCAAAGTAAAATCTGCCACCTTGATTTCCGATTGTGTTTTGTTCCCCAACTATTTTGTTTATAATTGGAAACACTTTTTAAAAAAAAAGGTCTTCACAGTAGACTTTCCTTAGCATAAATCCCAAGTTCTACAAAATTACCGAATTCCAAACGCTCTTAATTTTTGCTTCGATCAAATTCCAAGTTGAAAAGCTTTCATGTGTGAACTAAACACGTAAAGAAACACATGAATAAGAGAAAAATACTTCTCTCAATTCTCTTCTACAATATCTACAATTCTCACATGGATGGCTTACATCAGGTTATACTTGTTTTTGTCTGAATACTTACGTACAGGATACATGTAATATAGTTTGATGTATAGATGTATGATCTAAACACGCTGAATAATTTCCAAATCCAAGAAAATGACTTGTTTATCATCTCGGTTTGAAAGTCCAGTTTACTTTGAGTATGCCCTGGACATGCTTATTAACCCTAGAATCCTAGAATCCCTAGAACGACCTCCTCTTTGTCCACATTGTTATCTTGGCTTGAAAACTGATATCCCAGCTCTATTCCTCGGACATGCTTAATAATATAATCTAAAATAACGGCCTAATAACTTGTCAAATCATCTTGGCATGAAACACTGATAACCTAATTATATGGCTTGGAGATGCTTGGTACTTCTAGGATCCACGAGACTATTTCTATTGATTGGACATCTTGGCATACAATCTTGTTTATGAGGTGAATGTTATGGACATTGTAACTTCAAAATCCAAGAAATAGGCCTAGGCATCCTAAATTACATGGACAAGATCTTTGCAATAATTTTAAAAATGACTTTTGTGTTTATATGAAACTAGAACACCCATGGGATCATATACTATCTTTGTAAAAATAAAAATTTGTGACTGAGAGTTTCAAACTATTTCTTTTCATTATTACAGCTAATTCATCTTAGTTAACATGTGATAAATAATAAAATCTAAAGCCATAATAAACCAAATTCCCTTAACACTCCACACTTAGTGATTAGACTTCTGTCAAATTGAGGCTTATGACAGATTATACAAGTTTTGGCAGAGATCGTTTCACAAGTCAAGAAGTACTTTACATAGTTGCTGAAATCTCTTTGCATATTAAGTCTCCATGAAACCCTTAATTTCTCCAATTTTCACAACCCAAGGAGATTGTCTGACCGTACTAATGTGCTTAAAGTACCCTGAACTGAAGATCTATTCTATCCACGCTCCCTCCTTGAGATTTCTCTTCCTCCAAAGTTAATCAAAAGGTTAAAATAAAACGTATAAATGCCGAGCAGGTTGTACATATCAACTTCGCCACGACAGATAAACTCTATGACAGTTATTACATGCGATTCATTTATATAACAGAGTAATCATGCGATCGTCATCAACAACGGCGAGAAAATGTTAGAGGGAAGAGGCTTTGAGTAACATCTCACGATCCAAGAGATTGAAACTCTTGAGAAATGAGACAAATCACATATTCTTCTCGTAACAAGTGTATCAATTTGCCACTTAAAAAATTGGACTAGCGTAAAAGCATTTGGACGATGAAATCACACAAGATCACGATTTTTCTACCGTTGAAAATATCTTTATTAAAAAACTCTTTCGATTACATTTTTAACTCATATTATTATCATGTTCAAAGTTGCTGATTGGAGAAAATCTTGTAATTTCTAATTGTAAATCACATCTTGTATAGTTATCACAAGCAAGTTCATGTAAATACAACATGTGTCTAAAATGTTACTCAATTTGATTAGTATCTAAAATCAAAAGTGTGAAATACACTTTAAAGATTACTTAAGAGGTCAACGATAGGTGATGTGAAGATATACTTGGATTACCCTGTGGAGTAATATTTTTCTAAAAGAAAGATCAACTTCGAATGGATCAAAATGAAGAGTAACTTCAAAACCTGAAATTAAGACTTGTCATGAAGATGAGATATCTTTCTGTGGGTTGAACGTTTATTAAGTACAACGTTCAACTTGCACGGAGTAAAACGATTGACACAACGTTTACAAACTTCTACTATAAATCTAATAGAAATTTTAACAAATTTTGGAAGTTTTATTTATGGAGATAGAATGAATTCTCTTCTAATGATGGCAAGAAGAATGCAAAGAATACAATACAAGTTGAGGTTAATCAAAGCATATGACTATTATCTGTTCACATTTTACAAATTTTCAGACCTTGAAAATGTTGAGTTGAAATTGTAGATGATATGCGGTTGTTGAAGGTCATTTTGAAAATTAAAACGTGATAAGTTCTTTCACACCTTGATCACTATTGAAATGAATATAGAGAAACATGGTCTACATGGAAAAAAAAATATTTTATCCATGTAGTGGTTCATTCCATATACTTTAGTGATAACTTAGTGAAGATATTACAAAGTGGACGAAATCTGAGAATGACGAATCAAGTATTATTTTTTGTCTACGTTGTATATTCTTTTGACTTTTCGATTGGATTTTTATATTTTTGTGAATTTTCTGTAACAAATATTACATGAGAAGACAAGAAGCAAAACTTATCAAAGCATGTGTTAAAATTTATCAGAATTTTCAATACTGCAACCACAGAATTTGATCTTGTTGGCATTAAAAAAAGAAAATTTTTACAGAAATAGCCAAACATGGAATATCAGACACTTCTTATGTATGAACATGAGGTACTGAATGTTGATGGAGATTTTTGAAATATTTAATTTTAAATCTTAACTTTAAAGATTGTACATTATGCAGGTTCATCTTATTTTGATGAAGATACTCATGAGAAGTATTGATGTTGATTATCACGATGTACGTGCACATGGCCTCGTTACATGTCAAGTCTCCATATAATTTGAAAAAAAATGTCTTTGAATAAAGGAGTGATTTGCCTACGTTAAGTACGAAGAACAAATTAATATAGAGTATGTGGATACTATGCACAATACAAAAAGCATGGGATGACAGTATGAACATGATATGATAAGTTATTACAAAGCATTTCAAATTTGATTGACAAACCTGCAAGATTCTGTAACACCTACTTGTGAGTTGGACGGTTCCGTATCATGAGACTGAAACTACGATATCCTAAAATGTTTTGCAAAGGGTATTTGATGCATATTGTCGGAAAAATAGCTTAATCGGGCAACGTTTGGACTTATACATCTTGTTGCAACATTCATCTAGAAATATGAATAATGATGATAATGAAATCAGCGAGTTGCCTTTGTTGTACGCATTAGATGAACCTTTTTGGATCACAAAATTGAATCTGCAAGGCATTTTTTTCCCGTAGTCAGGTCTTGATGTAAACAAAGATTGACAGATAATGTCACTTACTTTGATAATTAGCAAGTGAAATTCTGTGTTAAAGAAGTTGGTCCATGAAGCTACCATAATGTAGGGCTCATCAATCACTTTACTCTCGAAGTCTTAAATAAAAGTTCGTTTGAAATATTTCATTTGAGTGTGTTATTACTGTCTCTTCTGGCATTCTATATAAAAGGGCATGTAAAGCAGCTATAGATCGAAAGGTAAGTCACATTAGAGTTTTCTCTCTACATTGAGCATGAGTGGTCTAAACCGTGACCCCTGCAGTATCAAACTTAAGCATGCAGTGCCTTATGTATTGACGTGCTATGAGTACAAAGGGTCCACTACATCCTTGGAATGGATTCACGAAAACAATTATTCAATTTAGCAAGGATACACAGACTTCAAAAAAATCTCCTGGAACAATGTCTTCGACAGACAATGAAACAGCTTCACAAGTCCATTTTTCTAGTTTGTAAAATTCCATTCAAAATTTCTTGTACAACCATGCAAATAGAAGGTTCTCGTTCCGACCTTATGCCAAGTGTGACACCCAACCAAACCTTCAGATTTAGACAATGTGCAAGACTTTAATAAAAAATGGAAATCGAACTTTTCTCATACGGAATAAGCGTGATGTTGGTTGGAGGCACAAAGTTGGAGCTTCTTTGCGACTCGTCATATGACTCATGATCTAGATGTTGAACACAGATAAAGTCGGCAGATCGACCTTCAGGTTACATACGACTGTAAGGGATCCTGAAAACGAAGGACATCAACGAACGTCTCGCAAGTTGAAGAAATATTATTGTCTCAAGGGCTTGGAAAACAAATTTTTTCTATGATCTATGAACAAGTATACTCTTGCTAACTTACAAAACGTGCTCTGGAGCTGGTATGTATTTCCATCAAACAGAGTTATGTAAACTGCAATCGGAATCACAGCCACTCTGAATCGATGCCATCTGTCTGGTATGAAGATCACAAGGAGCCTATACAGAGATCACTAAAAATAAACATACATTCAATACAATTTCATATGCACGCACAAATAACACTTGCCAATTGAAAAACCTCAGGGCACACTGCAGCCCAGCTCTCACTTTCCGAGGAAACGTACACAATTTGTGACGCCCTTTAATAAAATTGATACATTTATCGTGAACCTGGCGACAATTACCTGAGCAGAGATGAAGAGCTCTAAAATCTAGACAGATCCTTTGTTCGACCAAAAAATTTGGCTTTTCAAGAACCAGTGAAGCAAGCCTCCCAAAGCAGCACATAGTGTTCTGCAATATGACACTCGCGTGTGAGCCAAGACAATTGTAAATAATGAACAAACTTGGAGAGGTACTATACGAGAAGATGCAACTTGGAGAAGTAATTTCCTGCTTAAACATAAAAGAATTTAACAACAGCTACAGGTCACTACGACCCTCACAATGCTGACGTCAGCATTATTCGCAAAAGCCTAGATCTTCCCTGCCACTTGAAATGAGGCTTGACAAGGCCCTCAGCTCCAACATGAAGTTCATTCATTCTCCAGCACTTGACTTTCATAAGAACAAAAGGAAAGGGGGAGGTTTTAAACTGCAGCGTTGCCAAAGAATTCTACAAGAACCAGTTCTATCTTTACAATGAGCAAGTCTACACTCAATATAAGTTCAACTAACTCGTGATACCGAATTTGAATATGATGTATTGGCAACCAAATTTTCAACAGCAACAGTTGATCAAAATGAAGGGAAACGATATTGATGAACGCTAAATTATATACCTGCTTAAGAAAGACATCACAAACATCTCTTCACTTCACTGGAGCATCTGTTAACAACATAGTGTGATATACACTGTCTTTCCAGCACACGGTGTAATTTGTTGTCAACACATACCCTAGCAAAGTCAAACAAATGTCCGTAAACCTTGACACAGATTCCCACGCATAGCAAAATCACTTCAAATGGTGGCTCACCTTGAGAAATAAAGCTGGGGAAGGAAAAGAGAATGGTAGACTATGTCAACCATACATGTTAGGCAAAGGTCGAACAGCCATGAAGGCATTAACCATCTGTGACAAACAAACGCAAATGACAAGAAGTATCAAATAAGAGAAAAATGTAATCCACGAATGAAAAGTATAGACCTAGACAAACATACCCACTATCTGATGACACATGTTCTCCTGTAGGAATAAATGACAAGAAGTAACGGTGAATAATCCCCGTCAGAAAAGGCAGATTTCAGTTTTTTCCTACAGTCTTCCGCTGACTAGAATACGATAAGAAGTACAAACCTCTTCAGTGACTCCTGCACGGGCCTTCCTATGTCGCTCGACAATAGCAGTTAAAACCTCAATCAACCTTTGCTTTACCTCACCAGTTAGCATTCTCCCGGCACCATATTCCTGCACGTTACAGTGGGATGAAAACTCCGATACATTCGTCAAAGGGCACAATTGGGTCACGTTTCATTCGTTTAGAGACAGGATACGAATTCGTATCTTCATGATAATAGAACTTGAAGGCAGCAGACATTTTGCCCTTATCGGAGCGCTCTATGTAGATACGAAAATACTTCAAACATGAGTACTTCTCAAAAATTCCAACGTAGAAACTTTATGAAAGCACTGAAGAACCAACCTTTTTGATTTCCTCAAGTTCGGCATCATCGTCCAAGAAGAAGGAAAGGTATTTCACAGGAATGTCAACCTGCCAGTTGACACATAGATAATTAGAACTCACAAAGTCAGAAATCTACGATATGCCAGCCAGCATAGTAACTAGACACCCGATTCTTGAAGAAAGATGTAGTCCTACAGAGAGAAAATGTTCAATACTGACCTCGAGATTTGCTCCGTATTTCCGATGTTTCTCCATAGTGTCACCTCCTCCAGAAAATGCATATCTGTTGATCTGTCAGCAACAATCTGTCAGTCCGATGACAAATATATAAATGAATGTAATCAAAGCCAAGGCTTTGCGGTATCTACACAAGGACGCACTTCCACGCCTGTAAAATTACAGATGTATTAAAATAAGAACTCGGATCAAGATCCTTTATAATTCCCATCTGTCATACCTTAGTTTTGATTTCCTTAGGGGTATCCGTCACATATATAGCTGTAGATGTATCGCTGGCTGACATTTTGCCAGAGTCACCCTGCGAAACTGAATTGTCAGATTAACAGGATTGACCAACAACTGATATCAACCTTTACATTAGAAGTGATTTCAGCCATGACAAAATAGATTACGTTCATCCAGCACAAGACACTGGAATACGGCACCAATATGAAACATTCATAAGCTGTGAAGCAAACTGCATCAGAGAAAGTTCACGGACCTGCAGGGCCGGAAAGAAAAGAGATTCAATCAAAGCAGGTTTCAAAAACCCTATTCGCGGAGCAGCATCTCTGGTCATTCGAAAATATGGATCCTGAAAACGGACATAACGTGAAATCAGAAACGAGGAGTGCACACAGGCACGATTGATATACGAGTTTGTTCAGCACTCCAACCAAGTGCTAATCAGAAAATCAAGATCCACAAAATCTTGATTCACTGATACGCCACAGACAACGTAACATAGACATGGAAGTACAATATTTTACCGATTTGATGACAAGACTGGGACTTAACAGTAAAGATGGTCAACATGTGATATGAGACGGAAACAGATCCCTGCACTCTGTATGAGCTACAGCAGAAAGACAGCACATTTCTTAGTCAAGCAATTGAATTCATAGGCATAAGGCTATTTATCTTATCAGCACACCTGGTCGATTGCACAAGGTATTAAGCAGCGAACGTCCTTCCGTTGGCCGAAAAGATGGGGAAAAGATGTAGGAAAAGATGGTGCAGCCTGAAAATTTGGAAGAAAAACAATTAGAAACATAAATTCTTGACGGAACTCGGTCTTGCCTTTGGTGGATGAGAAAGATCTACAATCTCAGAACGTGATAATACCAGACATGCCTATATTATCAATCAGAACGTCCTTACCTGCACAGGCGGAAAGCTGACTTTCCCAATGTGATCCTCGCCAACAAACCCAAATATCCCTCTAACCTGCACAAGTTCCAGAAATCATCCGCTTGGTTACATCTCAGTGAACAAAAATACACAACTCTCAAGCCCAGTTGATAAAGTTGAAACGACAGTTCAATTCCAAACATACAGAGGGTTCCAGTGTGTGAACCGAGCACATGGAGAAAGAATGGCCACGTAAAGTAAAGAAAAGTTCAACTTTTAACACGGCATACTTTGATCAATAAGTGAAAAACTTATCGAAGAATTTACAAAACAACACAAACTGCAACAACTGCTGATAGTCAACGGGGAAATTATTTCAATTCCGAAGGGTGCATCTGTATAAATTTTACCTGATTCAGTGTAACGCATTTGGCAATACGAACCATATTTTTATAAAATTCTCTGCACGCATCGGTTCCTCAAAGCAATAAGTATAAGCACAGAAGAACCTCGATTCCAAGGCAACATGATTATGGGGTTGAACAGGAAGAATGAATCATGACAGGATGTGAAGGCATCCAACGGACTGGCTTTACTGGGCGTCTTACGCTTCAACAATAACGGTGCTGACAACACGGGTAAACAGAGACATGTCTTCCAGTAGACAACATACCGGATGGAAGACGGGCAAATCTACTGCAACTTGTGCTGGAGTTTCATTTTTCAAACAAACTTAAAAACTCGAACCACTTCCTTACCCTCCAACATAATCGAAGTCGGAAAATATAAACGTTCGGCTGATGTCAAATCCACATGCAATTATGTCTTTGGCATTTTCCCGTGCCAAATGTTGACTCCTCTCAACAGTGATATCCTTCCACATACACTTTTCATCATCTGTAAGTTGTATCACCAGAGGTACTTTGAAGGCATCTTGTAGATACCTGTCATTGACACATGAGGTAAATACACGATCAAAGCAGAGGCCGACTTTAAAGGCTCGGTAAGAACGAGTATATGTAAAACCCTGTAAAATTCTTGTGGTTTGTTGTACATATGTTTTTCATTTCATGGAATGTCGTTGGGTGCAGACTTACTTGGTGAACATGAAAGGAACTAGATGTCCAAGATGTAAAGCATCCGAAGAGGGCCCCCTCCCCGTGTAAAGATAGAACTTCTCTCCTTTTTCATAGGCATCGAGGATTTTATCGAACTCCCTGATTTGATCCAACACAATACCACACGTCCGTCAGCGCAGATGATCTGCACTGCAAATGCATAGGAAGTTTAGGAAAAGCAACGCAAGCAGAGATTATCTGATGTAAGCAATTCCGAGAGCCAGCAGAAGGGGACCTGTGCGCGAAGAAGACACCTCGGCGAAGGAAGGGATGAGCGGGCTTCCCAGTCAACCTCTCGACTCTGTCAATCAGAGCCTGATCCAATTTCTGGCATCCGAATTGCACAATGAGCTTATCATAATCAATCTTCCCGCCGTCTTTCCCAGCCACTTCCCACGGCGTCACCACTTGCCCCGCCTCCTCTGCATTGGATGCATTGACTTCTTGCTTCGATATATCCACAGCGGCGGATTCTACTGCTACTCCTCCACCTCCGCCCGAATCCTCCATGGCCAATTCCTACACTAGCCTGCGAAATTCGACTCGAACGATATGGACACCGAAGAACAATTGAATGATTAAGTCAATGCATTTGCAGCAAGCTGGCAACCCATCGAACCTCTGAAGCTTGGCGACCATGACTGGGGGCAGTGGGGCAGGGCTAGCATGTCTGTATGCTTGCACAGTACGATAAACCCCGTGGTTAACCACAACTGTGTATGTCCCTGGGACCTAACTGTGTGGTTCAGTGGAGCCAACTTTTCACCCAGTAGACGAGAAGTTCAAGTTCCTGATAAACCCCGTGGTTAACCACAACTGTGATGGTCCCTGGGACCTAACTGTGTGTCCAGTGGAGCCAACTCTTCACCCTGTAGACGGGAAGTTCAAGTTCAGCAAGTATCTAATGTTCGGATACATTAGAAATTGTATACGAGCATCGCTAGTACCTAATAAACATTATGCATCTCAATAGCTAATGATATACAATTATAGCTGGAGCAATTGGAATATATAATCTATAAGAGGTTACGCACTAGATTAAAATGTATGACACTCTGCATTGATTGATAGTCTATCCTGCACTCTATCAAAATGGTAATGGTTCAAATCAGCATCCATTTCTATATAATTTTGATAGTAAAACTAGTAATAATCTTTCTTCGTTTCTTACACATGAAGCTTTGGTTCATGTCACACCACCGGCTGTCCACCTTCTTAGTAAGGATGGGCTTGAAATGCATCTAGGAATTTGAATAATTAATAACAATGTTATGATATCCAGTGAACCAAATACATGTCTAACTTAATCACGATATAATGAAATGCATACCAACTATACCTCCATAAGTTATATACATCCTCAACTATCATTATTCAATAATCTAATATTATTCTTCAATATGCATATCCAATAAATGATCATCATAAAATAGATAATTATTGAGACATGAAACCTTTTTAATACCGTACAATCTGCACCAATTGCACTTTAGACAAAGTATTTTCTTTGTTCTAAGGCATCAAATATAGCATTACGTATGGAAACATTGAGCCGTTGGATGTTAAAGTTGTTTGTATATCGTTTGACGAACATGGTTTGTGGGGCTTAAATGATGCATAACAGAATTCTCATTTGTAATACAGTAACCTCCCACTTAAGTACGCATCCCAGTTAGGTACGCACTTTTTCATATGATTTTCAAGGATCAACATTTTCAACAATTTCAATGTAAACTTTAGGGATTTCAATATTTTTGACGATTTCATTGTAAACTTCAGTGATTTCATCCTACAGTTCAACGATTTCATAATGAATTTCAACCATTTCGTCTTACAGTTCAAAGATTTCACTTTAAATTTCAGAGATGTGAATGTAACATATTGTGAATCGTAATCTGATTTACTCTTGTTTATTCTACGTCTAGATTTAAGTACTACTGCTTGTACCTTAGCTTGGAATATTTCAAATGATTTTTTCAGATCGTCCAAAGAATCTTGAGCTTCTAACAATTGCTACTCGATATCAAGAATATACTTATACGGAAATTTAAATCCATGAAAATCAGTCCCATCCTGTGAATCCATAATCTCCTCAGTTAAATGAATATAGTCGTCATCAACATCTGCTACATCAATAGTCATCAAATCTAACAATTCCTCAACGTCTTCTAGCAATGTTACAGTATATTCTTCACTGCTTTTGTTGTCAATGTGAAATTTTTTTTCCAAATCTGTTTCATCAATCGATAAATTTAAGTTGCTGATCGTTTCAGCTAACTCAGCGACAATCAAACTAATTTTACTCTCAACCCCTGGTTCAAGTTCCAAATTCATGAGCTCTGCAATACAAAATGCGTTTTTTATAGAACTTGAACAGACCGAATCCCAAGCTTCTTTCACATAGCTTGCAGCGTCCAACAGATGTGCTGGATTTTCGTAAAAAAACTCCTGCTGCACCTCGTCGTAATCTTTTTCCGAATTCTCTTTTTCTCTCCTTCAACTCCTCTTCAAGCTTGTAGAAGTCGACGATATTCTTGAGATATAAATTTTTATATCGTTTCTTGATAGCAGCAATAATCTCCATATCACAAGGTTGTTTCCAACTGGTACAATTTGGAGAAAAAAATATCACACGTATGTTGTCAAGTTCAAAAGCATCGAAGTGTCCTGGCACATTATTAATCAGTAAAAGAACGGGACTTCCTGTTCGTCTTTTGATATCTGGAACAAAGATTTCATTGAACCATCTCCAACGGATTTTCATGTTCATCCAAGCCTTCCCTTGATTGAAATAAGGAATTGGCCACTGTCGATCTTTGATACAAGTTGGTTTCTTCGGCTTTCCAATCATTACACAAGGAATTTTATGTGATCTAGAAGCGTTCGCAGAAACTATCAAAGAAACACGATATTTTATTTTATTTTACCTTTAGTGCTTGAGATATCATCGTTCCGCAAAAGAAGCAAATATCTGGGAAGCAAACAAAAAAAGAATCATGTCTTGTCCATGTTGTACACATTCTCAGGATTGTACTGAGAGATGATAAGAGATAATCCTTCCAAGGTTGACAGTAAACCAGGATCATTCTTGTCAACCTCTGCGCATTCTCCGTGCATAAGCATTTTCCGTAGACCTCGACGTGTCTTGAAACGATCAAGCCATTGCCATGAAGCTTTAAAATCTGAACAGAAATTGATAATGTAGATGCGATACCTTTTGCCTTTGCAATTGCAAGAGATGATTGTACATGCAGCTTGGCACGATGCATGCTGTCAATCCAGATGTCCAACTTGTATTCAAGTTCAGAAAATTGTTTGACCGAAGCTCTGAAGGTTATCTGCCTGGTTTCTTCAGAGAGTAAAGTTGATTGTTCGAGAATGAAATCTTGTTTTTCCCATATTTTCCTCACAACACCTTCACTAATTTCATACTCACGTGTTAAAGCGCGCTTGCTTGGAGTATTCTCCTTTCTGAGTGTTGAAATGATCTCACATCTTTGAGACTCGTTCAGACGCTTCGCAATTGACCTTTTCGACATTGGAGCTGTACAGAAACTTTGTGAAACTGAAACTGTTAAGTATGCACCTCCCAGTTAAGTACACAAAAAAATTTAGGGTTCAATGTGCGTACTTAAGTGGGAGACTACTGCATTGTCATCATTAACCCTAGATTACTTGTTTTGTTTCAATTTTTATGTATTTTTTCAATGCTTTTTTATACAACCTGAAACTTTAATAAGCTCACATCCTTGCTAGAATTAAATTATTGAGATAAAAAAAGGATTCAATTGAATTATTTTTTTCTCACACTCACTGTAACAAAAAGAACTCTGAAAAAAGAAATGTTCCCATAAAGTTCTTCTGTCTCTCTTACTAACAAAGCACTAGACATAAGAAAATATATTTAAACAAGATCCGCAACTATATGAAAGTCTCATTCGAAGATCATAAACTAGAGAGAAATAAAATAAGTTTTTAAACATACCTTTTCTAAAAAATATCAAAAGTTTCACGCAAAATCACTTAGGACTAAAATAATTATTTTCATCATACATATTAACTGGTTGAGATTGTGAATATACATATACTTTCTGAAGCTAGATTACTTGAAGCTCAAATGAGCTATTTACACGAAAGTATCAAAACCATGGAAGAAGTTAGAGCCATTTACATCTTATAAGAATATATCAAAATCATGAAAGAAGTTAGAGCCATCTACAATTTATACTTACTAGTCGAGATCTTAGAATTCAATTTGATCATTATCAAATACCGTCACATCCTAAACTCTCCTAAACTTTTGAGATGTAAATGTAGATTTTTATCTGCTTCATTTACTATCATGAATGTAGATGACCTTTGCTGCAAGCATGCAAGATAAATTATGATTGAGATTTGCAAGTGCCAAGCGTGGGGAATCGAGCAACAACTGATTTCATTCTGTTCATCCTTAGAGTCGCTTCCACGTTTTGAGGGATGAGGCAGAATGCGTGAATTATCCAGCGAGTCCGGCTTCTTAATCATCTGCTCCATGTGATGTCCAGGTGGAGAACTGGTAGGGTGTCAGAGAGGTGGATTAGGAAGACCTTGCAGTTGTAAGTTTTATTATCCCTGTGGCTTAGCCAAAGAATTGGTCCATCGATCTGTCTCCACAAAGGACTGTACTGATAAATATACAGCGAAAGTCCAGATTCTCAAACCACGATATACGACATGTCACTGGCAATCCCAACGAGAGCATTCAGGTTTCGCGTCAGGAAACTTGCTGCGTTTCGCAGCCTTCTAAATCCACTAACTAGTGATTATATATAAGTAAGTATTTCTATAAAAAAGTGGCCATATCCCATATTTAGTAAGCCGAGCATAGAAGAATAAATTCATAAAATAGAGTATCCAGGCTCGTTAGAAACTATTAAAACAGTCGAAGTGTGAGTCACGTGGAATATATATTCCAGCCTCGATAGCGATACAAAGCCAAGGGAAATGGAGAAAGCTAGTCTGTCTGGTGATTAGCGGAATAATGAAGAAACTAGATTCCCGATGCGTCACATCGAAGATAGCTCGTACAGGTCAAGCTCATATCATGCAACGTCAGTTTAATATGACGTGGTGTGATTCTGCAGAAATGACAACATCGGAGTTCCACGTGAAGAAATGTATGCACATGATCGATCGCCGCAGACAGATGAAACGCTGATTTACTCCCAGAGAAACTGAGAAATCTGAATGGGAAGATATTGATGTTGATTAGTGACAGTACAGCAGAGGAGCAAAATTTTGCATGTACTAAGTGCATGTGAGAATGTATTTTAGCCCGATAAAAAGAATTCCCATATTCTCTTGTTTTCTTCACATTCAGCTTTTTAACCTCCTGGTGGTGTTGTGACACGTAGACTATGAAGAAACGAGGATATGAATCAAATACGATCACCTAAACCATATCGACCATCGATATGGACTAAATGAAAGGTCTTCTCAAGACCTTCCAAAGAGACGGATGTTTGATGTTTGCCACGGACTTTCTTCGACTCGTTGTGAAGAAAGTAATGATTGGGGACAAATTGGTTTCAAACAAAGACTTAAATTGTGCCTAAGAGTCATGTGACCTTGGTGTTGCATAGGAACGTTTTCTCGTTACTCCAACGCCGATCAATTTGATCTTGACCGAAGCTACAAACATCTAACAAATTTGGTATTTGACTTGGTTTGGGTGTTGTTGGTGCTGCAATGATAAAATTGGGTGACAGGAAGACGAGGCCAAAAAAAATCAGAGATAGGACGGCAAGGA